TCTGAAATGTCAAAGCAGGGGGAAGAAGAATCCCCTTCTACTGTGCACTCTGCAGATCTCCTCTCCAGCCCCCTCCTCTTCTCATGCCCCCATGGCACATCCCAAGAGCGCGTCACTGGACCTGACTCCAAAATGAAATGAACACGATGGACCACTTCTCAGGCACATACCGTGTCTGTATCTTGAAGAATTGAAGACATCACTGTTAAGCCATCTGTGCCACAGTTAAAGCTCATTTCTGACTAACTTCCACTCCCCGTGATCGACCACTAGACAAAAGCGAGATTCCCAAGCTGAAGAATACCTCTAATCTGAGAATTAGTGATCCTGAAGGCTGCAGGGGAAAGAGTGACTCTGCCTTAACCTGTCCTAAGGAGAAGAACTCCACGCATGTACTGTCTACACCGCTTTTCCACCAGGGAACCCAAAGCACATGTCAAGTAGGAGGGGACCCATTTCAGCCACCTCCAGGGTGTCCAGGGACAGCTCCCCCAGCAGCACAGTGTCCCTGCTCACCGTACCGCGGCGTTAGTTTGGAAACTGTGGCCCAGAAAGAAGACCGACACCTACTGGTCCGCCAGCACCACACGCAGCAGCGACCTGGCTTTTCCTGCAGGCCTGCCACCCCAGGACTGACCGGGCCGGCCTTGCTAGGCTGCTGCAATCTGAAGACACCCCTTCTAGAATACCACAGGCTCATCCCCCAGCGCTCCAGCACATTCCTGTGCTGAGATCTCGGCTGTCTGTGGAATGCTGAGAATCCAAATAAGCTTTAGTCCTCTTTTCCTGAAAAAAACAACCCAGGGCCAGGCAGAACAAACTGCTATAAAGCAAACACGAACCCTATACTGGCACAGCCCGGCCACAGAAGAGCACACTCGCCCCCCGCGCACGACGCCCCAGTTCAGAAAGATGCCAGCTCGCTTCCGGAAACGGGGGATTTTGTACAAAGAAATGCAGGGCAACAAGACTCAGAAGTCTGAGAAAGACCAGCTGATGAACAGGACGGTTCTGCCGCAGCTTTTTTCCCAAACAATTCCTTCTGTTGAGATAACTTACTGCTAAACCTGGTGTCAACAGCGTCACAAACACCTCTGGCTCAGCACAGCGACAACTGCATTCGCACATGCAGAGAGGCTAGAACTGGCGAGAGGGAGAGAAAATTCGGAGCAGCCCAGCCTGATGGGAGCTCTTGGCCCTTGCTTCCCGACGCCAGCTCTACAGTGTGTGGATGAAAGTGTGCAGGTGAAGGTTACGCCATCGGGTGACGATGTGCAAGGCTCACGTGCCGCCCCTCTCCCTGCTCCCCGGACAGCGGCTGGCCTGCGGGAGGAGCAGGCTGGAAGTGCCTAAGAGGGGTTAAACAAATCACCTTTATCTGTCTGCCTGTGCAGCCAGGGCCCAGCTGCAGGACCTCACCGCCGAGACTGAGCACAATGTAATTAGCTCTCTCTGTGCAATAACAACCGCCTGTGAGGGAGGAGGGCATGGCTGGCACACTGCACAGTCACACCAACGTCAGCCTGGGTAGGATGCCTCCTCACCACACAATCTGCCATGGCAACACTGCCATCGCAATGGGAACAGGCTGGGCTCCTGCACCTTCTCCGTCGCTGAAGGCAGCGCAGTGGCGGTGCCAAAGGCAACAAGCATTCGGTCAGTGGCATGGCAACCAACCAGACAGCTCAAGCATTCCTTAATGGCACTGGTTTGTTTTCTGGGCAACACAACAAGTGCGTTGCGACAGATAGCACTGCATGCATTTTGGACTGGAAACAACCGCAATGGTACACGGCTTACTGTTTTGCTAACAACGCCCACGGTAGTACCCTGCCACATGAGAACTGGCATTTTAGATTGTTTTGTTCGCTAGCACCGGTGGCAGCGTGTTAATGCGATGCCAAGGCAAAAGCCCTGACAACGGAGAAGAGTCCGATAACGAGGCATCCCAGTGACCCCTTCCCATCTCCTCACGCCTGCAGCTGCGGAAGAAGCGCTCCCAGCGCCCGTACAGGTGTGGATAACGAGGGAATTAGACGAC